TCAGAAAAGGAATCCGATACTTTTGTTTTATAATCAATAATGTCTGCAGAAGCGACATGAGATAAGAGATCTAACGTGTCCTTACAATTACCCTCCTCAGTAAAATCCAGAAAACGCGCAGTAAAGATAACACTGCCAATCTAACCTAACCTAACTGCCAAGGAAAACAGTCACGACTACAAGGCAAAAACAGACTGTGTATTAATCATGGGAAAAAACCGCACGAGCAGAACGTACGTGTTACTGCGTACACGGTCGGAAAGCAACTCTGCGTCGTCCCGGGCGGAAGAGATTAACAACTGCCGGACGTGATAAACAATTGCCGGTCGTGATCGTCAACCTCGAGACGCGCGCAGCGCCGCAGCCAATCACATTGCGCTACGTCACGTAACGTAGCGCACTAGCGCCATAACATTTACTGGCATTTATTGGCAACGAATGTACGCTAGCGTCAAAATATGGCGGCTTATAGAAAGCTGCTCTTCTCAATATTAAATGAAAGTAGAACAAAATATATAAAAAATCAAAAAACATTTTTTGGTTGCTCAATGAACATGAACTTCTGGATTATTCTTAAGTCAATTTACAAGAAAAAAGTTCATGTATTTTTCTACTTTGTAACTTTTATTATTTCAATACAGCTTCTGAGATTAAAGTTCTTTCTGACAAATTGAATATAGAAGTGTCGGAAATGCTATCTAAATATACAACTTCATTAAAGAATATCGTTAAAAATAATTAATATTTTTTTATATGAAATATATAAAGATTACCTTTATTCATGTTGCTGAATTCTATTAATATTTCGATTATTCCGTCAGCTTTAACATTTGTTTATGTCGCCATGAAAAAAAATGACGGTTGAAATAAAGTCAGATTTTAACCCAAACCAAAATTTTTATATTGGCCTAAGTTTGGAAATCAATAAGGGCCCTAGATAGAAGAGCGTGACATCTCGAGATTGGGCCAAGATGGGCGTCCTAATTTGGTCCTCAAATAAAATTAGGAAACCTTTATAGGGCCCGGTTATAGCCTATATAAAATTTCCACACGGTAGTGTCTGCATGATTGCGCCGCACTCATAATGTGCATAGTGGTAGCAGTATTGCATCTTACTATCTGCGAAGAGGGCTCGAGTAAAAAAAGGTTATCGATAAACTATACAGGGTGACCCATTTTAACGTAGGCAGCCAAATAACTCGAAAAATAAGCACACTACGAAAAAATGGTTAGAATCAAAATTTCGTCATTTCGAGGGGGACGTACAATGACGTTAAAATCAGCCCCCCCACTCCTCCCCCTGGGCGGTGAGAGGGGGCAAGTTTGAAATCTTAAATGGAACCCCCTATTTTTCATTGCATATTCTTGTAGCTTATCTCGAGAGCTTTCCAAAACACTATAATTAAGTACCTTTTTATTAAGTACTTTTTGAGTTATAAGACTTGAAATAATTTCTTAATTTTACATAAACCATAAAATATCTAGTAAACCATTCATTTTTCGATTATCTTATCTTCATACTTTTATGTACAAAATAATGAGAGGAATCAATTGGTGTAAAGAAAACACATAGTTGTTTCTAAGAAAAAATATGTAATTTGCAATTAACAATTCCATATTTTTTCTTAAAAACAACTGTATGTTTTCTTTACACCAATTGATTCCTCTCATTATTTTGTGCATAAAAGTATGAAGGTAAGATAATCGAAAAATGAATGGTTTACTAGATATTTTATGGTTTATGTAAAATTAAGAAATTATTTTAAGCCTTATAACTCAAAAAGTACTTAATAAAAAGGTACTTAATTATAGTGTTTTGGAAAGCTCTCGAGATAAGCTACAAGAATATGCAATGAAAAATAGGGGGTTCCATTTAAGATTTCAAACTTGCCCCCCCCCTCACCGCCCAGGGGGAGGGGTGGGGGGCTGATTTTAACGTCATTGTACGTCCCCCTCGAAATGACGAAATTTTGATTCTAACCATTTTTTCGTAGTGTGCTTATTTTTCGAGTTATTTGGCTGCCTATGTTAAAATGGGTCACCCTGTATATCCAAATTATAATGACAACCCAGAATAAAGGAGAGAAAAGGAATTTTAAGAAAACAGAAGATAATTATCTTTAATTAATTATTCATCATGCTTATGCATCTATACAAATTTAGTTGAATAGGATTTTATTGGGTTTTGAGCAATACGTTTAACTGCACGCACACATATACACAGAGCTTTTAAAAGGATGAAATAATTAAAAAATTAAAAAAAAAGATCCCGATTGCTACCAACAAAAGTACAACATTTAAATCATTATAAAAAAAGTTTAATAAATACATAGAAAAAAGTAATGATAAATAATAAATTAAAAAGTAGATATAAAATAGTAAAAAAGAACATAATAAGTAATAAAGTAAAAAGAAAAAAGTTTAATAAAAATATAACCTTAAAAAAGTTTGAAATAATATCTATTTGTAAATATTAATACAATTAACTTCAAACTATTATTAAATACTACATTAAAAAATTATGTATATATATGAGAAGTAATTATTATTAAATAATAATATTATTAAATAATAATTATTCTTATTTGAATTGACTCTTTTCACATATTTAGCGAAATATGATTTACAAAGGCTTAAGATTTTAGAATTAAATAATACTAACAAATTACTTTGTTACATTGTAATTATTATTAATTCTATATTTTACAAGAGCAGTCGGGAGACGCCGCGATAAATTTAAAAATATTAGCGCACACATACATACATTTATGTATGTGTGCGCTAATATTTTTATTATGTATACACGCCGAACACACCTAGCGCGGCGTCTCCCGACTGCTCTTAAAATATACAATTAATAATAATTACAATGTAACAAAGTAATTTGTTAGTATTATTTCTAAAATCTTAAGCCTTTGTAAATACTACTAAAATATAATTATATTACGCTAAATATGTGAAAAGAGTAAATTCAAATAAGAATAAATTGAAATAATTACTTCTCATATATATGCATAATTTTTTAAATGTAGTATTTAATAATAGTTTGATGTTAATTGTATTAATATTTACAAATAGATATTATAATATTTCAAACTTTTTTAAGCTTATATTTTTATTAAACTTTTTCTTTTTACTTTATTATTTATTATGTTCTTTTTTATTATTTTATATCTACTTTTTAATTTATTATTTATCATTACGTTTTTGTATTTATTGAATTTTTTTATAATGATTTAAATGTTGTACTTTTGTTGATAGTAGTCGGAAGTATTTTTGTACATAAAAGTATTAAGGCAAGATAATCGAAAAATGAATATTTTACTAGATATTTTATGGTTTATGTAAAATTAAAAAATTATTTCAAACCTCATAACTCGAAAAGTACTCAATGAAGAAGTACTTTGTTATAGTGTTTTGGAATGGTCTCGAAATAAGCTACAAGAATATGCAATAAAAAAATAGGGGATTCCATTTAAGAAATTGACGGTGACCTTCAAATGACTCTCCAAGGTCAAATCATTGCCACCATCTGATGGCCTCTTCAAGCCATACAACTTTTGTTTGAAACATTTTTTTATGTAACGCACCATTTAGGAGATATTTGAGCGTATTATTTAAAATGGGACACCCTGTATATATATAATAATTACGAAAATTATATTAATTTCTATTTGCAAATATATAAATAAGATTACTAAGAATTAGTATTTCATTAATCTCTAGTAGAAACGCTTATTTTTTGTTACTTTATCTTATATCTTATTAATTATAGTCAGTGAAAGTAAAATTTCACTGTAAAGTCAGTAATCGCTAGTTTGTTTGTTTACCGCTACGATGCGCTGTTTTTCTCATACTTAAGTTTTAGTTATGAGAATTATATAAAGTTTCCAAAGAGCGACAAATAAAATTAAAAGTATCACTTCGATTTAATTTCTAATATAATTTCAATAGAGGAACTTCAAATATTAAATCGATTTTATCAATCGGACATGTCTGGCGAATAAACGAAAATGATTGTTCATTATATATTAAAAATATAAAATAAATCATCATTTATTAAACATTCATGTTCTAATATGCGTGTAAATATAAATAAAATTTTTAATTTTATATGAAACAGATGAATTAATATTACTGATTAAAACAGTCAATATTACTAATTCTTTCAGTGAAATATTATTGATTTACAGTGCTATAATAACTTATAACTGCTGTATCAGTGACTCTGTTTACTGTTTTTAGTGATAATGTACTGATTCATTTTTAGAGATTGTGTATGAATGCATTATTTTATTAATTTCATAAAAAAAATTAACGAATAAAAGAAAAAAATTATTAAAAATGTCAGACTCACGAATATAAAATTAAATATATAAGATATATATGGCAATATGAGTTTAGTGGTAATATGAGTTTTTAGTGTCGATACTGTTATATCGTTATTTATTGTGCAAAAAACACAAAGAAAAAAATATTTATACATATTTTAAACATGTTTTAAACATTTTTAAACGTTTTTTTTATCAGAAAAGAGACGTATCTCTAAATGTTCTGCACTCAACCTAACCTAACCTAATCTAAACGTTCTGCAGTGGACATTTTAATCAATCAGAAAACGTTTTCAAGAGTCGATTATGAAACGTTTCAAAGAAACATTTGTGAAACCTTTTTGAAAGGAATATGACTAACGTGAGATATATTTAAAATCCTAAATTCCTAATCATGAGTATTGTGTAACTATTATAATTATTATGTAACTATATTTTCCCCTCCCTCTCTCTCCCTTTCTCTAATAACTATTAAATATTAATTTATGTTTAAAGAAAAGAAAGATTATTTTAATATAAATTTAAAGAAAGAAATATGTATTTATAAATAAATTAAATCATATAATTGCAAAATATTTATAATCCATTTTTTAAATATTAAACTTTAATTATTTTTGTAACTTTCTTTTAATGAATAGTACAATAAAATATTGATTAATTATGTCACAGAAAACAGCAACATTGAAATTGGAGCACAAGCACAACAACAACATCAACAACAACAACAACAGCAACAGCAACATCAACAGCAATATGGAGAAGTAAATCAGTTAGGAGGTGTATTCGTAAATGGTAGACCTCTTCCTAATGCTGTCAGATTGAGAATTGTCGAACTTGCACAGTTGGGTATCAGACCATGTGATATTTCACGACAACTACGTGTCAGTCATGGATGCGTCAGTAAAATATTAGCACGCTATCATGAAACGGGTAGTATTCTACCAGGCGCGATTGGTGGTAGTAAACCGCGAGTAACCACGCCAAAAGTCGTGCAATATATTAAACAATTAAAGTTAAAGGATCCAGGAATTTTTGCCTGGGAGATCAGGGATCGATTGCTATCTGATGGCGTTTGCGATAAATACAACGTTCCTTCAGTATCCAGTATATCGAGAATATTGAGAAACAAAGTCGGCATAACAACGACTATGCATCATCATCCGCATCATTCAGCTCACCATCATCATCATCATCTTTATGCGGCCGCTGCAGCAGCTGGTGCAGCTCTTTGTCCAGTGCCGTACCCACCGACACCATATCATCCGACGGTGCCACCTTCCATCACACATCACCATCAAGGTTAGTATATGGAAATTTAGCTTAGCGATATCGAGCGAGAAATTTTTCTAATATTCTGTCAATAAAAAATAATATAACAAATTGTTTAACTCAAAAATTAGGTATAAGTAAAATAATTCTATTTTATTTTAGTTACTTTTTTATATTTTTTTTAAACACATCATATTATCTTAAATCATAATAAAAGAATTAAAAATAAATACAATTCTTTTCTCTAAAACATATATTTTATAAACTAAATTTTAAAGTTAATTATTTATATATATAGCAATTATTTCACATATAATAAATTATATGTTTTACATATAATTATATATATATAAATTATTATATGGTTTTCACATACCAATCAAATTTTATAGTTTGTTTTATATATAATTGTTTAAATTAATTAAACTAATTAAATAATAGTGTAATTTATTATTAAAAAAAAATTAAATTAACAATGATTAAAGGAAATATAAACACAATTATAGGTATATATATATATATATATATATATATATATATATATATGTTAAATGTTTGCAACGGGAACAGAATTTCAGGCGAATGAATATTTTGGAGACTTTTGCATACTTTAGGGTCAAGACTCAAAGTATTCATATATCAAATGTATGATTTGGGAACATTATGTGAATATATTAAATGTATAAATTTGAGCCCTATATAATTCACGAATAGATGGCATTATTAGTACTATAATGATACACGGAGAGAGACCTCAAATTACACTTTATACAGGGTGTCCGTAAATTTTCGACCTTAATGAAATAAATAAGTAGATTGGCTCGAATTAACAAGAAATGACCGGTATTGCTTTGGGATTGTCGCAATAATTAACGAAATATTAAATAAAAAAGATCGGCCAATCTGCGTGAGTAAAAGCGCGCGGCGACGAGAGTCATCCCACCGTAATCCGATACTACGAACGCGGCGAAGCGGTGGGCGGGTCGCTCTCCGAGACATGATGGTGGTTTGCGATATATCGCAATACCGCGCCGAAAAATGACCCGTCCCCCCTTTTCGTGGCGAGAAAATGATGCGCTATCATTTCCACACCACCTTGCGGTAGATAGCATGGTGCGCTTTTTTTATAGTGGTTTCCCCCATAGGCCTATTCCACTCTCAATTTAAAAATTATTCAAAATGCCATTTACTATACGCTGAATATATCGTAAATGTAAAAAATTAATGGACAGTACCTTTACAAAAATTCGTGGTTGAAAATTCCTCGATAAAATGTATTGCACACGTTGATAATGTGATACGATGATAAAATTCTTCAAGAATCCTTTCTTCATCTCGTACACGAAGACGCACTGCTGGACCGGTTATCCCGATATTATGCACGACACTCAGTTTCACATAATTATTGCACAACACGTAAAATTGTACGGCCACTTGGTTTTCGTGCACGCCCGAGAAATGATTCCATGTAAATTGCGGCCGCACGATAAGTATTTTCTCCCGCTAGTCCGTATGCCACAATCATATCCGTATATTCCTGCAGAGTACACTTCATTTTCACTGGTAATTAACTGCGCGAACATAAGATTTTTACTAAGCGTCTTAGCTCTCGCACGTTGTTGCCAGACTGCGTACGCCAGCAGCACGCAACTACAGCTGAGCGGACATGCGAGTGTAATCATAGTGCGCAGGCGTCGAACTCACACGTACGCTTACACTCACATGTCCGCTCAGCTGTCAGCTGTAGTTGCGTGCTGCTGGCGTACGCAGTCTGGTAACAGCGTGCGAGAGCTAAGACGTTTTAATAAAAATCTTGTGTTTGCGTAGTAAATTAACAGTGAAAATGAAGTGTACTCTGCAGGAATATACGGATATGATTGTGGCATACGGACTAGCGGGAGAAAATACTTATCGTGCGGCCGCAATTTACATGGAATCATTTCTCGGGCGTGCACGAAAACCAAGTGGCCGTACAATTTTACGTGTTGTGCAATAATTATGTGAAACTGAGTGTCGTGCATAATATCGGGATAACCGGTCCAGCAGTGCGTCTTCGTGTACGAGATGAAGAAAGGATTCTTGAAGAATTTTATCATCGTATCACATTATCAACGTGTGCAATACATTTTATCGAGGAATTTTCAACCACGAATTTTTGTAAAGGTACTGTCCATTAATTTTTTACATTTACGATATATTCAGCGTATAGTAAATGGCATTTTGAATAATTTTTAAATTGAGAGTGGAATAGGCCTATGGGGGAAACCACTATAAAAAAAGCGCACCATGCTATCTACCGCAAGGTGGTGTGGAAATGATAGCGCATCATTTTCTCGCCACGAAAAGGGGGGACGGGTCATTTTTCGGCGCGGTATTGCGATATATCGCAAACCACCATCATGTCTCGGAGAGCGACCCGCCCACCGCTTCGCCGCGTTCGTAGTATCGGATTACGGTGGGATGACTCTCGTCGCCGCGCGCTTTTACTCACGCAGATTGGCCGATCTTTTTTATTTAATATTTCGTTAATTATTGCGACAATCCCAAAGCAATACCGGTCATTTCTTGTTAATTCGAGCCAATCTACTTATTTATTTCATTAAGGTCGAAAATTTACGGACACCCTGTATATGTAAAATAAAATTTTCATTCATATATTTAGAGGATATCGATTTAAATAATTAAAATTTCTTAAACTTTTTGATAAACGAATTTCGAAACATTAATTTATGGCTTCAAACTATGCATTTTACATATTACGACCTTAAAGTATGTACCCGACTGGAAATTAAAGTAGGGTCTTGATAAGGGCCATACAATATTTGCCTGACTTCATTGTCGGGGCCTGTTTTTTTTGCCTTATCAGTACCTTATCAGTATTGTATAAGCATGTAACGCCATTTTTTTATAAGGTCCATATAAGGTATCATTATTAGGTCCTTATAAAATTAAAGTCAGGTCCTCATAGGGACCTAATTAGAAATTAAGATAGGATTCCGATAAGGACCATATACCGTTTACCTAATTTCGTTGTAGGGATATGATATTTTTGCCTTATCAGTACCTAAATGAGCATATAACACTATTTTCTTATAAAGTCCATATAAGGTATCATTATTAGACCCTTATAAAGTTATATCAGGTCTCATAGGGAAATATATAAGGTCATAATTAGGTATTTTAATGAGAACCCACGATAACGATAAAATAATTTCTGTTTGGTTATTGTCAAGATAATTATATTTTTGATGTGACAATCACAATTAAAAAAAAAAAAAAAAAAAAATTAAAAAAAAAAAAAAAAAAAAAAAAAAAATGAATTTAATTTTTAATTTTTTTTTTTTTTTTTAGAATTTACATTATATAAATAAGAATTTAATAATAAAAATTTAAAAATAATATATTTATTATTATATTAATAATTATATTATATTGATATTATTTTTATGAATATTATATTGAAAAAAAAAAAAAAAAAAAAAAAAAAAAAAAAAAAAAAAAAAAAAAAAAAAAAAAAAAAAAAAAAAATTATAAAAATTAATATAAAATTCATTAACATATAGAACAACTACTCGATAATTTTTTATTTTTTATTCCGTTGTTTGCTCAATTTTTATTTTGATTGTTTTTTTTTTTTTTTTTTTTTTTTTTTTTTTTTTTTTTTTTTTTTTTTTTTTTTTTTTTTTTTTTTTTTTTTTTTTTTTTTTTTTTTTTTTTTTTTTTTTTTTTTTTTTTTTTTTTTTTTTTTTTTTTTTTTTTTTTTTTTTTTTTTTTTTTTTTTTTTTTTTTTTTTTTTTTTTTTTTTTTTTTTTTTTTTTTTTTTTTTTTTTTTTTTTTTTTTTTTTTCGTTGAATTGCTCAATTGTTCCATGCTATCACATGGTAATGTAATTAGGTTTTCATTATCCTCCTCATCTTCTGATGAAATTCTTGATTGCTCTCTATTTACTTGGTCTTTTAATATAGATAAAATATTTTCCACGTTTATGATAAGCTTTAAGATTGGTCTTTTAAGAACTGTTATTTCGTTTGTTAATTCTTGTAATTTTTCCTCTATTTTTTTTAAAGATTCTGAAAATTCAAGAAAAAATTATCAATATATAGAAATTATCAATATATCACATCTCATTCACAACTTAATTTACCTTCATGCTTGCAATTAGTTTGAGTACATTTAAATTTTTTAGAAGAAGTCGATGATAGCTCTTCAGTCGATTCTTCAGAAATATCAATTGCTAGTTCTAATTCCTCCTTCTCCGAAGAAGACTCATCTGACCGTTTTCTATGTATATTCAACTTTTTATTTTTTTTTCTGAAAATAAATATTTTTAATTAAATTATTTTTGTTATTATTATTTTTATTATTATTATTTTTATTATTATTTGATATGTCATTGTGCTAATTTTTGCAATTATATTTTTAGCGTACTTTTTCTTGAACCTTCAGAAAATTCAAAACTACAGAGATCAAGCAAAAACTTGATTACAAGATAAAGAGAATGATGAGAACCCGATTTAATTACCATGTAATAGCGTAAAAAATTTAAACAATTCAATGAAAAATTAAAATCAAATAAAAAATATAAAAAATTATAAATATATGTGCACTATATATATGTATATTAAGACTTACGATAGGATTCGTCATAAATTTCTTTCGAAAACGATTGATGATATTCATCAGTTATTTGTTTTTCATTATAACTTATTTCTTCGAAATTGTTTTTCGATTTACTTGCGGTCTCAACATCTAACTCACTATCCGTTGTAAGAACATATTGCTGGAGATTCAATTTTTTTAACTTTTCCTCTGCTTCAGAATACGTTCCTAAATTATTCATAATAATGTACATTAAAAGTATTACTTATAAATATTATTAAAAAGTAGTAATTTTTTTTTAAATAATTGTTATATAAAAAAACTGAGAGAAAAATTGTTTTACAACGCAAGTAATTTATTTCTCTAGTAGTTTTAGAATAAATTTCCAAAAAATTATTATTGCGTTTCTTTACAATAAATTATTGAAAAAT